CACCAGTGCTGCCAGCTAAAACATGCACACCAACAAAAATAATATTGGAGTAGCCCAAGACATAGCCAAAGATTGCAGTGCCATAGCACTAGTGGAAATTTAAATTTGCCAACTGGAAAGCTTTCGGTTAATTGATGTTTCAGTTGATCAATATTTGGATAATCGATGCTCTACGCGACACGAGTCAGCGATGACGTTTTACCGAATTATAGGAGTTTTTTTTAGCATGTTTGTATGAATACTGTCGCAATTTTTTCACCGTGATATAGGAATCCGAACTATAGGAACCCGTGTTATAGGGGGTCGACTGTAATGGCATAGCACCATTGAATTTATAGAATATATTCTTCACTCTAAAAATATTTTAGTGTGTACTGATTATTGATCTAATTCTCTTATTATTATTATCATTATCCTGTCCAAAAACGTCTGGAAAGATTATAATTTATTAACTCTACTGAGTAACTTTCCACTTATATATAATTATTTTAAAAGTAACCTGAAAATAGGCAAGTGTAAGTTAGCAGTCCTAATCATACTTGAGTGAAACTACAATAGTTATCAAAATATCCCAAAATTCTTAATAAATAGTGAATTATCCATTCATTCTCCAATTTGACTTAAAATATCAGTGTACTAAATATAAATAATTCTGCACTTAATCATTCATTTTAATTAGTAAATGTTTTTTAAAAAAATTTCACTAAATCCCTAAATTAAAAAATTTTTCTGAGCACTACCAATCTGAACCTGTTTTTTATCTAGGGTCAGTTCCTTCAGACCACACTGCAGCATCCGTATAACTTATAAATGAGGGAATTTCATAATCCTATTTCTGTCGTCTATATCTTCATCTTCATAAAAAAAATGACATTATGCCACTACAATTAAATGAATCCAATACTATCATATGACATCTTAAACATGTTCATGTTGCTACTAGTGTAATTCAAGACAAAGTGGATGCACATGGGTGGCAAAATTAAGGCAACATTGAACATTGATGACAGATTAAACCAATTATCTATTTTAATTATCAACTGCTGCCACCAATCACCTCTTTCCACCTAAGAGCTGGAAAGAGGTGATGGCAGCAGTTGTTAAAGTTCAATGTCACCTTAATTTTGTTTCTTGTATGCACTCAGTTTAGGGGTCCTACTGCAAAAATATTTTTTTAAGGTGCTATGGTAGATATCTGTACTGACAATTCATGAATGTGACAGTTACTATAGACTGCATTCATTTTATTATATGGTAAAATATTTTTTCTTAAATACCATTAAGTTTAAACTTACTTTCTAGTAGTTGATAATTCAAAGCTATTATCATAATAAAAAGAAAATTAAAATTTAATTTAAAATAAATAAAACAAAAAAATTGTTCGAAATAAAGATTAAATTAATTTTGTTGTTGTAGTTATATTAATAGTCTCCTCATGTTATTCAACACAAAAGGTTAACACAAAATTCTCCCATCTTCCAATTCTCTAATCCAGTGTTTTTCAACCTTCTTGAATATGTGACCCCTTTACAAGTTAAAAAATTCTGGCGACCCCCCAGGGCCATATTAAAACTATATCAGTGATTTTAAAAACTATGTATTTAATTTTCTTTCCTTAAATATCGATCGAAAAACCAACTGTACTGTAAAATAAATAGGCACAGCCTTCTCACTGATATTCTAGNCAGTAGTATTTAAATAAACACTGTAGTATTTAAATAAAAACTGGCATTATGATTTCCACCTAATCCACTATGAATTTCTGTATATCAGTACCAACAATAGTGGTATGTGAAAATTTATTCAGAGATTTCTGTTCTAAGTATGGAGAGAGGCTCACTCATAACTGTTTACTTCCACGCCTGCTAACTTGAAATTTTACCAGAGTTCAGATCAACAAACAAATCCATATCTCTATCACTGATTAATTACGAAACTAAAATAACAGCAAAATTAATAACATTTGCAAATATTTGTAATCTTTATTAAAATGTGCTTTATTTCTTCATTACAATATTTAATTTTTACATTTTGAGACTACTTTTAGTTTAGAAAAAATTTATATCAGAACTTGATACTGATTGATACTTATAAAATGATAGAAAAATCCAAATAAAAATAAACATCACTGCCAATAAGACTAAGACAAGAGTGAAACTTCACAAGGCTGCTTCACAAGAATAAGTCAAGATCAAGACATTATTACAAGTCTTGAGACTTACATATTACTATGGCCATATTCAATGATGTTATTATGAATGCACTAATACTAATGTCTTTACTTGAGTACTAAGCAATATTGTCACTTATTGGATTTTACAAGTAACATTAAAAATTTAATATTTTTTGGGACAATGTAAAATATACATGCCTAGAAATCTCTCTTTTCAGTATAATATTACTGCAACATAAAATAACCATCAGAAGTACTTTTGGTGTGTGTATATACACCTTGTATTTTACAATAATAAAGTGTATTCATTTGTTATTAATAAACATTGAGAAAAGTATTGAATCTAGGATTCTGTTTGAGTTTCAATACAAATATTAATTTTTTTTTCCTCATTATTAATGAATTCTCCATGAAATCCTCACATAATCCATATCACTGACCTTAATTTGAGTTCTAACCTGAGATTGGAAATTACTGATTTAAATGGCTAGAAATTACTACTTGCAATAAGTTAAAATAAAATAATAAATTTGTTTTAAGTTAAAAGTATGCTTGTAAAAGAAGTATGGTTTACATACTATATAAATGTTACTGTTTTCTTCAAGTTATTTTGTTTTTATATTCATTCCTCTGAGTTTTTTTTCATAAAATATTCTATTTATAACACACACATGTTACATTTATTTTATTGTACAATTTCAAAAGACAAAAGAATTACCTAATTCTTCCCATACAGCTGCAGTTCTATCAAATGAACAAGTTGCTAAAACTTGACCAAATTCTGGATGTGCCCATGTCACTTTCCACACAGAACCACTGTGAGTCTAGAATATATTATTGGATACTTATGAATAATGAAACAAATTTATGTATAAATAGATATTAGAATTTTAAATAAATTTCCAAAAATAAATAATTTCATATTTAAGAATTTATTTATTATTCATTTAGCTAATAATAATATACTAATAATAACTAATAAAAATATAGTAATTACAAATATGATAATAATTACAGTAAAATTAATTTTAAGTTTCTACAACTTTTATTATTATTATTTTACAAACATATATATAGGAAAGTTTAGATATAATGTATATCTATATAATAAATTTATTAAAGTTCAAAAAGAATAATTATTTTTAATTAATTGAGTCATTGATTTTGAAAGTGGGGCAAGTCCATTTTGTGAAAAAAAAGTTACAAGCTAATACTTATTACAAATTAACATAAAATTTAAGTTTTTAATCAATTCACAATAAATATCTTATAATATCAGTATAAATTTGTTACTACTAATTTATATTGTCAACAATATTTATTGTTAGTTGATTTTGAAAGTGAGGCAAGTCCACTCTAAAGAAAAATATAAAGATATGATGGATTTATTACCCTATGTATCCCATTCATCATGAATACTTTAAAAATTGCACCATGTGAACTAAGAAATATAATTATGTGCATACAACTTATTACTGAATATTTTTTCTTATTTTCTCCACTTTTTCCTATAAAATTAAATTTATTTTTTGTTTTATTGTAGCTTTTCAAAGAAGTATGAAATGTTGAAATAAAATAAATAAGTAAATAAATAAAATATTCAATTTATTGTTATTATAACTATATTCCATTCAAAGAAAATCAACGTTTTCAACAAATCACTGCTTTTGAAAGTGAGGCAAGTCCATTGGCACATACCAAAACCATGATTTTTTTTTACCTAACACAGATAGCCATTATTGCATATTAAATTTACATGAAATAAGATCAAAAAAATATAAAATAAGTCTATTACTGCTTATGAATATTTTTAAACTCATTCAAATGCAAACCATTAAATATCTAGCAATAACATACCTTGAACCTGTTACCGGGTGAGTGACACAAAGGTTAAAGTATATCACAAATGTTTTTGAACAGTTTAAAATTCTTCCTCGGGTGATACACAGAATAACCGATGGAACACAGAGATTTGAAAATTAGATTGAATCCATGTCTCGTGAAATCGTTAAGTTGGACATTTGCATTCGTGTGGGTATCCGATGTTTGATAATTAAAGATCAGTGTCCAATCATAGCAATAACATAACATGGACTTGCCCCACTTTCAAACTCAATGGCTCAATAATAATAATAACTAAAGTTAAGTAAAAGAGAAAAGTTTTCAAACCTCTATTTCAACCAACCTCGTAGTGAGTTGAAGTTATTCAAAAATGTCTCATTTTTACTTAAATTGTTAGTTTCTTTAAAGTAATTATTCATTTTTGATATATATAAACTTACATATTCTTATATCATCAATTTTATTGTTCTATCAAATAATCCATAAATATAGTAGACCCATGTTTACCAGGTACTTTACTTTTATTTTTAGGTTTTTACTTTCACTTTTCTCCACAAATACAGTAGGAGGACTAGCTGAAAAGATGTGAACATTCTTGCTCCAAAATTTCTGAATGTTCCCTTATGGGACATACAGTATAAAAACAAATAATTACAATACCACCAAGTAAGGTCATGTGACCACTGAAAGCTAGTTGCTAATTACTTCTTGCTTTGCTCCCTCAAGATAAGGATGTTTATATCATCTGCATTGTTTATTCATAGAGTATATATTTTATACCTTTTTAATATGTAATTGCTTCTCATATATGTCCAATAAAACCTGTTCATTATGATTCTGTAAGAAATCATTTGACTATACTTGTATTAGAAAACTGACTAATGAAAGATTTCACCAATTTTCCATGTAACATACCATGATGTAGATGGCCCTGTCACCTTGTGTCCTGAGTAGTAATGTACTGTAAGATTAAAGATAGACCCTTATAAATCTTCCTTAGAATGGTGCTCCCTTACATGGGCTGCTGATCTAAAAATGCCACCAACACAATGCTCATTTAAGCAGATTGATCTGTTATCCAGCACTCTGTTAACAGGATCTCTGCTAATCTATATATATAAAAAAGAATGTATGTCTGCCTGTCTGTCCTTCATGCATTACCACACCGTTTATCTGATTGCCATGAAACTTTGGGAAATTGTTTAATATACTCCCGCAAAGGTTTCTGGCATAGTACATCTATCCTACGATAGATGGCACAAGTGTATACGAGCATTTCATCGTGAGTTCGATCAATTTAAAATTGTGAAGACCATTTCCCCCTCCAAAAAATATCTCTATATATGCATTTGTGAACTGTTGTTTACGATATTTGTAATAATTTTTGTTTAATCACTTTATTTCAACTTTATTTCACTTTATTTTTGCTAATTATGTATTCGCTCGAACTTTGTTAAAACCTTAACTGTATCCCAAACAACAACCAAAGTTGTAGTAGGAAATTCGCCTATTTTACCGATCTAGGGATCCCCTTTTCCAAATTTTAATATTGACTCAAAATAATTTAAAAAGACAAATTACAATAAAACAGTTTATTATCCAACTATCAGAAATTTCACAACATGCCAAGGAAGAGAGGAAGGAGCAATTAAATAATTAAAATT